GGCACCGCTACGGTCCAAAAAAACCCCGGAAATATATCATTGAAAAATGTTTACAAAATAACTTCAACGTTGGTATATGCTGTTTTTGAATGTCAATAAAATGTATGGCATATTTTCAGTACTACCGTTTAATGACAAATTGACATTATTGTGTCTTCCTTATGTTAAGTAAGAGACATATAAAGCCAATAGTATATACGTCTCTGGTTAGGTCGACACTACAAATAACAAGAGGCCCATGGGCCTTAACGGTCACCTGATATATTTATACAGAGAGTTGATTTTGTTTTTCACATGTACAGAAATATTATTCAAAGTGACAACAACAATAAAACCACCTTATTCAATATCTAGCATACAGATTTAAGACTAAAAAGTATTTGAAACTAGCACCTCTGATTCTAAACAAGGAAAATGAAGAAATTTTCGCACACTGACTCCTTTGGGCCCCACCCTACAGCCCTTGGGGGTAGGGCTGGCTCAAAATTTTCAAAGTATCAAACTGTCAACTCAAGGTTATAATTCCAATCAAGTTATTAACATGTAATATTCAAAGTATCATTTGCCATTATAAACCATAATAAATTTTGCCCCCCCCCCCTCCTTCCCCAGGGGGTAAACGTGAGACCCTAGGGTCATAAACCTTAAGACCCTTCCATCTATGAAGAGTATTTGATTCTACCATATCTGGGTCTTGAGAAGAAGATTTTTGAAATTTCAGTAAATTCGACCCTTTTTGGCCCCACCCATCAGCCCCTGGGGGTCAGTCAGGGCTGATATGTGCTTATTATCAAACTGCTACCTAATACTGATAATGCTAACCCAAATTGAATTACTTCCAATGGAAATTAAACAAATGTTGGTCCAAAATGTGATTTCCCTATATAAACTATAGTAAAGTTTACCCCCTCCCCAGGGGGAAACGTGAGACCCCAGGGTCATGAAATTCACAATTGCGGTAAAGCACCTTAAGACCCTTCCATCTATGAAGAGTATTTGATTCTGCCATATCTGGGTCTTGAGAAGAAGATTTTTGAAATTTCAGTCAATTCGACCCTTTTTGGCACCACCCATCAGCTCCGGGGGGTCAGTCAGGGACTAAACCGGCCACTATTTTTGTTGACCTTTGTCCATGGAGGGTCCCTGCAAAATTTCATTGAAATTGGTTCATGGGTTTTGGAGAAGAAGTCGAAAATGTAAATTGTTTACGGACGCACGACGGACGACGACGGACAAAAGGCGATCGCAATAGGTCACTTGAGACTTTGTTTATTTTTCGACAAATTGATTAAATACTTTTTTAGCAACAAATTCAGAATTTGAGACTAAAAAAATGAACTACCCGCTAGACGCATCCATATGTATTGTTGATGTCGAGGAACCATTGTTCAAGACTATTCCCGTAACTTCACCTTGAAATAATATTTGGGGAAAATATAGAAATTGAAATAAAAGATAAGTGAGAAACCACCAACATCAAATATACTTTAAATCTTATGAATTCATAAAAAGGAATGTGTTTTTACATCGTGTAGATTTAGTGATTAGATGTTAAATGTAATGTACTGTTGAGTTCCAAACGGATACTATTAGAAGTTTAATTCCATTTCAAAATGAATTATCAATGTTCACGAAAAAAACGGGGGACAAATCATCATTCCAAATTATATTGTTGGTGCTGACGGGGAAAATGTTGCCTATAAGTGCATCTGCATCCGCCGCTGTGCAAGCGCTGTATAGGTAAATACAGATCAGAGTTAGGGTCAGACACCGACACGCTTCCACGAGCAAGTACATCTAAATCTAAGTCCGTTATTTGTCTGCTATGAACTGCGTTTTAAGGAGCGTGTTTAACCAAACGGTCTGTATGCGTTTGCGTTGAGTTTCCGTTGCGTTTGCATTGCGTTTGCGTTGAGTTTCCGTTGCATTTCCGTTGCGTTTGCCTTCCGTTTCTGTTGCGTTTCCGTTGCGTTTGCGTTTAAACAGACAAGAAAAACGGTCCAGGGTCTGTAAGAGTGGTTGTTAGTGAGGTAGTAGTAGTGGTTGTTAGTGAAGGAGTAGGAGTTGTTGTTAGTGAGGGAGCATGAGTAGTTTTTAGAGAAGGAGTATGAGTGGTTGTTAGTGAGGGAGTAAGAGTGGTTGTTAGTGAGGGAGTAGGAGTGGTTGTTAGTGAGGGAGTAAGAGTGGTTGTTAGTGAGGGAGTAGGAGTGGTTGTTAGTGAGGGAGTAAGAGTGGTTGTTAGTGAGGGAGTAGAGTGGTAGTTAGTGAGGGAGTAGGAGTGGTTGTTAGTGAGGGAGTATGAGTGGTTATTAGTGAAGGAGTATGAGTGGTTGTTAGTGAGGGAGTAGGAGTAGTGTGTGGAGGAGTATGAGTGGTTGTTAGTGAGGGAGTATGAGTGGTTGTTAGTGAGGGAGTATGAGTGGTTGTTAGTGAGGGAGTATGAGTGGTTGTTGGTGAAGGAGTAGGAATAGTTGTTAGTGAGGGAGTAGCAGTGGATATTAGTGAGGGAGTAAGAGTGGTTGTTAGTGAGGGAGTATGAGTGGTTGTTAGTGAAGGAGTATGAGTGGTTGTTAATGAGGGAGTAGGAATAGTTGTTAGTGAGGGAGTAGCAGTGGATATTAGTGAGGGAGTAAGAGTGGTGGTTAGTGAAGGAGTATGAATGGTTGTTAGTGAGGGAGTATGAGTGGTTGTTAGTGAAGGAGTAGGAGTGGTTGTTAGTGAGGGAGTATGAGTGGTTGTTAGTGAGGGAGTAGGAATGTGGATATTAGTGAGGGAGTAAGAGTGGTGGTTAGTGAAGGAGTATGAATGGTTGTTAGTGAGGGAGTATGAGTGGTTGTTAGTGAAGGAGTAGGAATAGTTGTTAGTGAATGAGTAACAGTGGTTGTAAGTGAGGGAGTAAGACTGGTGGTTAGTGAAGGAGTATGAGTGGTTGTTAGTGAGGGAGTAAGAGTGGTTGTTAGTGTGTTAGTGAGGGAGTAAGAATGGTTGTTAGAGAGGGAGTATGAGTGGTTGTTCGTGAAGGAGTAGGAATAGTTGTTAGTGAGGGAGTAGCAGTGGATATTAGTGAGGGAGTAAGAGTGGTTGTTAGTGAGGGAGTATGAGAGGTTGTTAGTGAAGGAGTATGAGTGGTTGTTAGTAAGGGAGTAGGAATAGTTGTTAGAGAGGGAGTAGCAGTCGATATTAGTGAGGGAGTAAGAGTGGTTGTAAGTGAGGGAGTATGAGTGGTTGTTAGTGAAGGAGTATGAGTGGTTGTTAGTAAGGGAGTAGGAATAGTTGTTAGAGAGGGAGTAGCAGTGGATATTAGTGAGGGAGTAAGAGTGGTTGTAAGTGAGGGAGTATGAGTGGTTGTTAGTGAAGGAGTAGGAATAGTTGTTAGTGAGGGAGTAGGAATGGTTGTTAGTGAATGAGTAAGAGTGGTTGTTTGTGAGGGAGTAAGAGTGGTCGTAAGTGAGGGAGTATGAGAGGTTGTTAGTGAAGGAGTAGAAGTGGTTGTTAGTGAGGGAGTTTGAGTGGTTGTTAGTGAAGGAGTAGGAGGGGTTGTTGGGGAAGGAGTAGGAATAGTTGTTAGTGAGGGAGTAGGAATGGTTGTTAGTGAATGAGTAAGTGTGGTTGTTAGTGAGGGAGTAAGAGTGGTGGTTAGTGAAGGAGTAGGAGTGGTTGTTGGTGAAGGAGTAGGAATAGTTGTTATTGAGGGAGTAGCAGTGGATATTAGTGAGGGAGTAAGAGTGGTTGTTAGTGAGGGAGTATGAGTGGTTGTTAGTGAAGGAGTAAGAGTGGTTGTTAGTGAGGGAGTAGGAATAGTTGTTAGTGAGGGAGTAGAAGTGGATATTAGTGAGGGAGTAAGAGTGGTTGTTAGTGAGGGAGTATGAGTGGTTGTTAGTGAAGGAGTATGAGTGGTTGTTAGTGAGGGAGTAGGAATAGTTGTTAGTGAATGAGTAAGAGTGGTTGTAAGTGAGGGAGTAAGACTGGTGGTTAGTGAAGGAGTATGAGTGGTTGTTAGTGAGGAAGTAAGAGTGGTTGTTAGTGAAGGAGTATGAGTGGTTGTTAGTGAGGGAGTAGGAGTGGTTTTTTCGAGGAGGAGTAAGAGTGGTTGTTAGTGAGGGAGTAAGAGTGGTTGTTAGTGAGGGAGTATGAGTGGTTGTTAGTGAGGGAGTATGAGTGGTTGTTGGTGAAGGAGTAGGAATAGTTGTTAGTGAGGGAGTAGCAGTGGATATTAGTGAGGGAGTAAGAGTGGTTGTTAGTGAGGGAGTATGAGTGGTTGTTAGTGAGGGAGTATGAGTGGTTGTTGGTGAAGGAGTAGGAATAGTTGTTAGTGAGGGAGTAGCAGTGGATATTAGTGAGGGAGTAAGAGTGGTTGTTAGTGAGGGAGTATGAGTGGTTGTTAGTGAGGGAGTATGAGTGGTTGTTGGTGAAGGAGTAGGAATAGTTGTTAGTGAGGGAGTAGCAGTGGATATTAGTGAGGGAGTAAGAGTGGTTGTTAGTGAGGGAGTATGAGTGGTTGTTAGTGAAGGAGTATGAGTGGTTGTTAGTGAGGGAGTAGGAATAGTTGTTAGTGAGGGAGTAGCAGTGGATGTTAGTGAGGGAGTAAGAGTGGTTGTTAGTGAGGGAGTATGAGTGGTTGTTAGTGAAGGAGTATGAGTGGTTGTTAGTGAGGGAGTAGGAATAGTTGTTAGTGAATGAGTAAGAGTGGTTGTTAGTGAGGGAGTAAGAGTGGTGGTTAGCGAAGGAGTAGGAGTGGTTGTTAGTGAGGGAGTATGAGTGGTTGTTAGTGAAGGAGTATGAGTGGTTGTTAGTGAGGGAGTAGGAATAGTTGTTAGTGAATGAGTAAGAGTGGTTGTTAGTGAGGGAGTAAGAGTGGTGATTAGTGAAGGAGTATGAGTGGTTGTTAGTGAGGGAGTATGAGTGGTTGTTAGTGAAGGAGTAGGAATAGTTGTTAGTGAATGAGTAGGAGTGGTTGTTAGTGAGGCAGAAGTGTAGGAGTAGTTGTAAGTATAACATACATGAGGTTACATGTTATTTTTCCCTCTTCATTGAAAAGATCCACATTCATGCGGTGACGGTTTCCAGTCAGTAGTTTACTCCCTTTTAATGTCAGTATTCTGCCACCATCTTTAATTCCTTGAATTGGATCTAATGAAACCAGTCCTGGAACCTGAAATCCATAAAATCAAACCATCATCACATTCATAACATTTTCCAACACCTTCACTAACAACCAGTCCTTCTCCCTCACTTACAACTACTCCTTCTCCCTCACTAATAACCACTCCTACTTCCTCCCTAACAACCACTCCTACTTCCTCCCTAACAACCACTCTTACTCCCTCACTAACAACCACTCATACTCCCTCACTAACACTTATACTCCCTCACAAGCAACCACTCCTACTTCCTCCCTAACAACCACTCTTACTCCCTCACTTACAACCACTCTTACTCCCTCACTAACAACACTCATACTCCCTCACTAGCAACCACTCCTACTTCCTCCCTAACAACCACTCTTACTCCCTCACTAATAACCACTCCTACTCCCTCACTAACAACACTCATACTCCCTCACTAGCAACCACTCCTACTTCCTCCCTAACAACCACTCTTACTCCCTCACTAATAACCACTCCTACTCCCTCACTAACAACACTCATACTCCCTCACTAGCAACCACTCCTACTTCCTCCCTAACAACCACTCTTACTCCCTCACTAATAACCACTCCTACTCCCTCACTAACAACACTCATACTCCCTCACTAGCAACCACTCCTACTTCCTCCCTAACAACCACTCTTACTCCCTCACTAATAACCACTCCTACTCCCTCACTAACAACCATTCTTACTCCCTCACTTACAACACTCATACTCCCTCACAAGCAACCACTCTTACTCCCTCACTAACAACCACTCATACTCTTTCACTAACAACCACTCATACTCCCTCACTAACAACAACTCATACTCCCTCACTAATAACACTCATACTCCCTCACTAGCAACCACTCTTACTCCCTCGCTAACAACTCATACTCCCTCACTAGCAACCACTCTTACTCCCTCACTAACAACCACTCATACTCCCTCACTAACCACTCATACTCCCTCACTAGCAACCACTCATACTCCCTCACTAGCAACCACTCTTACTCCCTCACTAACAACACTCTTACTCCCTCACTAACAACCACTCATACTCCCTCACTAACAACCACTCATACTCACTCACTAGCAACCACTCATACTCCCTCACTAACAATCACTCTTACTCCCTCACTAACAACCACTCATACTCCCTCACTAACAATCACTCATACTCCCTCACTAACAACCACTCCAAGTCTTTCACTAACAACCACTCCTACTCCCTCACTAACCATCACTCTTACTCCTTCACTAACAACCACTCATACTCCTTTACTAACAACCACTCTTACTCCCTCACTAACCACCACTCTTACTCCCTCACTAACCACCACTCTTACTCCTTCACTAACAACCACTCATACTATACCTCACTAACCATCACTCTTAATCCCTCACTAATAACCACTCCAAGTCTTTCACTAACAACCACTCCTACCTTCTCACTAACAACTACACCTATTCCCTCACCAACATTTCCTAACACTGCTTGTCTCCACATTTTTTGCTACAATAATTAGATTCATAATTACCAGGTGTGAGTTACTACAATGAAATCTACATCTGCAAGAGAACATAATTATATCAGTTCAATATTTTCACTTACCAAGTATTTAAAAGTCCAATTGCTGGTAGATTGTTTACTGTTCCTGGTGACGATGACTTGACCACCCTCTGTTTCCGTGTCAATTTTCCCAGTGTAGCACTGGATCCTGTAAACATACAGATGTCAATCACACACATAGTAATATCACTTTATGTTCTTCACAAATGCTCAACGTACAGTCCCATATATGTGACTGTCTGTGTCAAGTTAGGTTGTTGTTTTACCGATAAATGTCTTTACTGTGGTTGATGTGTTGAAGCCTTCTGATTGCTGGCAGTCATGCTTTTCTGCTGATCAGGCTGTTTAAAACTTATTATGAAATGTATGCTGGAGCATTGACTGATGAAATTTGAGGAAAGTCTGTAATTTACTTTCTGAGAAATAGTTATTACACTTCCACTTTAATAGCGGGCACTCTTGGCCGATCGAGCAGTGCGAGCCGTTACAGCAACACATGTACGGAGAGTATGGGAAAATGAGAGTGAATTGGTTCTATGCCATATGAAGGCTTCAAAAACTTTCGTCCTTCCGGTCGTACAGGCTCGCAAAAAATGGCAGCATGCGTTGCTCTGTGACTGCATTTGATGTTCTTTGGTAGCAGTGTACAGTAGAGGGTTGTGGCCATGGGTGATATTTTTGTTAAATGGCTAACCTCTGTATAATGATATGTAAAAAAAATATAAAAATAAAACTGTACTAAAATTGGTATAAGCATGATGAAGTGGGCTATGTGAGCTTCACATTTGTAAAAAAGAAAGAAGATTTTTTTGGTTCGAGAATAAAATTTTGGCCATAATCCGAAAGGGTGCGTACACATGAAAAGCTAGCTTTACAGGAGGTAAAATTTTGACAACAGCACACGATGCAAAATTGCAAAAAATCAAGTTTTACAACTTTACTGGGACCCAGATAATTCTGCAACCAGGTAGGTTATCTTTAATTTCAGACAGAGCTTAATAAAAAAAATACTAGTTGCGGACCCAGATTTTTGGGTTAAAAATAGCAATTTTTGGCATTTTTTGGTAATTTTTGATGTGGTAACCATGGTTTTCACACAAGTGACATACATAGAAAAAAGAGGTTTATACACTTCTCAGTACTTTATATGTATTGTAAATGTAATGCAGTTTACAGATATGTTTACATGTATACATGTGTTGTGTAGGGTAAATCCGCTGTGTTTACATTTCCTCGACATCATTGCCTTGTTTATCAGAGTCGGGCCATTTCTACTGTATACTGCTACCTTTTTTCCCACAAACAATTAATTTGACATTTTCAATGGACACCTTGTACTTTTGACGTATCTCCAGCAGATTTTTATTTTCAGAAACAATTCTATTTTTTTTTTTCCAAGTCTATGTTATAACTGATGAAATCCTGAGATGTCCTACATATTATTTTGATATTTTCATTTTTCTCGAACTGAAAATTATTTCAATGTAGTACTTGGTTATTTGTCTATAGCTTCAAAATGACATCGATTGATACTGATAAGTCTGAATATACCATTCTACGTATTTTGCTGTTTATGAAAGGATGAATTGACGCTGACAACATGTTGTGACGTCACTGTTGACACACGTCATCGTATTGTTGACAATACTTACTGAAGTCAACCTGAATTTTCTGAAGCTACAGTTTTCCACATTATTAAGAATATTTTGATTTTATTTATTCTTATCCCTTCAGTTCAGTGCACATTTTTATGCATTTATGTAACTTTTAAAAAGTTCTTCTGAAGTAATATTATCACAATTATCAAATAAAAAAAAAAAATCTGAATATTCAAACACAACGATATTTTTTCTGCATTTTCATCTAAGAATACTCTCATATTTTTCCGTTACTTGATTTAACACAATATGATTTTATTATAAACAAGAGGCCCATGGGCCTTAACGGTCACCTGAGTCTACAGTATTTATTTTGGTTGTTGAAATATGTACCAATTTGAGTAAAAAATAGTATAATGTTAACTTAACTATGTCAGGACCATGAGCTGATCATTCCTAGACCAATTTTAAGTGAGATCAGCCTATTAGAACTTAGTAGCAAAATAGCGGCCATGGCAGCCAAATTGTATTTCTGATTGACCCGAAAAATAACAACACTTTGTCAGGACCATGATTCAATCATTCCTACAAAGTTTCAGTTCAATCGGCCAAGTAGAACTTTACTTTAAGTTTGAAATAGTTTTTCAAAATGGCAGCCGTGGTGGCCATATTGGATTTCTGATCGACCCGAAAAATAACAACACTTTGTCAGGACCATGAGCTGATCATTCCTACAAACTTTCAGTTCAATCGGCCTGGCAGAACTTGACTTTAAGTTTGAAATAGGTTTTCAAAATGGCGGCCGTGGCGGCCATATTGGATTTCTGATCGATCCGAAAAATAACAACACTTTGTCAGGACCATGAGTCGATCATTCCTACAACCTTTCAGTTCAATCGGCCAGGCAGAACTTGACTTTAAGTTTGAAATAGTTTTTCAAAATGGTAATTCTCTTACAGTACATAAATATTTGTGTATACCTTTTAGTTTTTGTTTTTTTTTACAATGTTTGTGATAACAATTGGCATCAGAACAATACTGAATGACAAGAGGCCCAGAGGGCCTGTATCGCTCACCTGGATACCTCAGCAATCATGGCAAAATATTCTCCAAATGAGATCCAATGGAATATGCCAGACCCAAAGGCCAATCCTTGTAGCATATCTGTATCAGATTTTTCATGCCCAGCAATTTTATGTATGGTTATGGGGTGGGGATCTCAACTGTTTCCAAGCTGTGACTCAGAAACTAGGTACCTTAGGGTTGTGGCCAGACCCCAGGATCAATTCTAATATCGTGACTGCATTTGTCTCTTTTTGCCCAGCACTTGTATATATAGTTTTGGGGTGGGGATCTCAAATGTTTCAAAGTTATGATCCAGGGGTTAAGTCTCCATTGGTGGGGCAGTCCCCATTGCCATCCTGGAAGCATATGTGCATTCATCTCTTTATACTCACCAATTGTATGTATGGTTATAGGGTGGGCTCTCAACTGTTTCGAAGCTGTTATCATAAAATATCTATAACACGTTACACAAAGTGTTTTTTATTGAAATTGTATGGATAAAAGTAGTTATATACAAGCTAAAAGCAAACAGGACACATAGTCTCATACCAAAAGAGTGAAAAATTGAACCCAATAAACACAAAGCCTTAATAATTCATTTATTTTACATTTTACAGTTATTTTCTTTACTATACCAAAAACGACGGAAACAAATTAATTAATGATATTAAATTTATCAATTTACTGTTCTTTTATAGATCAAAATTACTCTGTCACGTACACTTTGGACATCATTCCATAGCCAGCTTACGCCTGGTATATTTACATGAACCTTGTTACTAAGTTTGAAGACAATCGGATAATATATATAACAGAAACGGCAGATAATGACATTTTTCTTTATTAAAGGGGCCATAAATCTATCAAATAAAGTCCGCTGCAAGAGGTCATGAAACTTGGTCGAGCCTTTAAGGAATTAAACCCTGCTACCAAGTTTGAAGAAAATCGGATAATATTTGCAAGAGTTAATGAACAGAAACGGCAGATAATGATGTTTTTCTTTATTCAAGGGGCAATAACTCCGTCAAATACAGTCTGCTGAAAGGTCATGGTCATCGAACTTGGTCGAGCCTTTAAGGAATTAAACCCTGGTACCAAGTTTTAAAAAAATCGGTTAATATTTGTTGGAGTTATTGCACGGAAACAGCAGATAATGATGTTTTGGGTTATTCAAGGGGCCATAACTCTGTGACAGACAGAGGGACAAACGGACAAACCCAAATTAATATCCCCCGTTTTGGTGAAAGTGGGGGATAACTAAATTTGGATAAAATTCCTTTATCTTTACCGTAGAAGAAGGATTTTAAAGGTTTTACCTCTATTTCCTCTATTTGGCCCCGCCCCCCTGCCCCCATGAGGGCCACAGCCACCGTTTATACAAAATTGAATGCCCTTGGCATAAAGGTGCTACAGACCAAATTTAGTCAAAACAGTACTCGGTCGTTCAGGACAAGTACTGTTTTAAAGGAAAAGTTGACGGACGGACATCCGACAGACGCCGCGCCACGGCATAAGCTCACCGGTCCTTCAGACCAGGTAAGCTAAAAAGAATAGCCACTTCCCCGTATAGCCCACAAAAGGCATTTTCAGATGTAAACAAGAGGCCCAATGGGCCTGCATCGCTCACCTGGTATAAATCTCACACTTGTAACCTTAAAAGTGATCTAAAATAAAACTATAGGCAAAATATCAGTATTTATGATTAAAATTCATTCAAAAGACCCTGTTAATTTTTTTAAAAACATTTCACCCCTGTGATTGAGGGTCGAACAAAGTCATTATGTTGAACAAATTGTATAGCCTTTCATCTCAGGATGCAACTTGCAAAGCATCAACATCCTGGGATCCATGGTTATTCAGAAGAGGTCGTTTAAAGATTTTAAACAAATTTGACCCCTGTGACCTTGAATATAAGTCAAAGTCATTCACTTTAACAAACATAGTAGTCCTTGATCCCAGCATGCATGCTACTGACTAAATATCAACATCCTGAGCCTTTTAATTATTCAGAACAAGTTGTTTAAATATTTTGAACATATTTGCTTCTTGTGACTTTGAATATGATTCAAGGTCATACATTTAAACAAACTTGGTAGCCCTTGATCCTAGTATGCTACTGACTAAATATCATCACCCTGGGCATTTTGGTTATTCAGAAGAAGTTGTTTAAAGTTTTTAACATATTTGACCCCTGTGACCTTGAATATGGGTGAAGGTCATTCATTTGAACAAACTTTGTAGCCCTTCATCTCAGCATGCTACTGGCCAAATATCATCACCCTGGGCATTTTGGTTATTGAGAAGAAGTTGTTTAAAGGTTTTTTAAGACAATTGACCCCTGTGACCTTGAATATAATTGAAGGTCATTCATTTGAACAAACTTGGTAGCCCTTCATCAAAGCATGCTACTGGCCAAATATCATCTCCCTGGGCAGTTTGGTTATCGAGAAGAAGATGTTTAAAGTTTTTAACATATTTGACCCCTGTGACCTTGAAAATGGGTGAAGGTCATTAACTTTGTAGCCCTTCATCCCAGTTTGCTTCTGGCCAAATATCAACACCCTAGGCCTTTCTGTTATTAAGAAGAAGTCGTTTAATGTAAAATATTGACGCCGGACGCCGGACGCCGTGCCATGGCATAAGCTCACCTGTTTAAAAAAAACATAGCCAACAGGATACAAACTTGAAATCATGGAACCTGTTATTGTAAAATAACACATTTCTAACAATCTACAATGATCATCTGTTCAACAAAGAACATCAGTCAATATTGAAAGTGAAGTGTTAATTTGTTCTTTTTTAGTAATAAAGAATGAATATATTAAGCAAAAATCTTATAGGGGGCTCTTGACTATCTTCATTGTATTTTATTTATTCCAATACATTTTCTTTATTAAATTGATTAATAATAAACATCATATAAAAATAGAATAAAAGTTTCCTTATTTCAGAAATACCTTATAGATCTCTTTTTGTTATTCTGTGAAAATTACTTAACCGTAAATTGATACAATGTATAAGGTGTGAATTAATTGGTATGGTTTTTTTTATATATTATTAAATATTGCAAATGTTTATTTATCTTCATTCTTCTTTCATTTGAAGCAATTTTTTAACACTTAAAAAAGAAAATAAATATCTTTTGTGCTACAATTGGAATCTGTTTTTATTTAATACATTTTCATATTCTTTATAACAAACTGGAGACTTACCACTGCGGAGGATTGAAGCTAAATTTGTTGATTTCGCACTGCCTTCCAGACACAGTGATGTTAATGTCCGTGACAATGCTTCCCAGTTCTGTACCGTGAATGGTCAAAGATGTCCGCCCAGAAATGGTGCCATTGCGTGGGGAAATCTGGCAAACAGAGATATTGATGTATAGGTATGTACATCGTCATCAATGTTACACTCCTGGTCGCAGGAGTGGTTTAAAAAGCAAAAGTTCTAAGCACAAACATAATACATAAGGGCAATCCTTATAATTTGATTCAACAAGAGGCCCACCGGCCTTAACAGTCACCTGACCTGTCATACAAGTGTTGTTAATGTTGTTGTGACAATAACAAATAGTACAATCGAAATAGGCCCTTTTTATGGTGGTTTCCTCAAGGTTTGGGAGGGACTAACACTATCACATATATTCAGGGTCAGGGTCTAAATGTTTATAATACCAAACTGCCATCATATGATGATAATTCAAACCTACTTTGAAACAATAGACCTAAAAGTGCTTTTTTTTACAATCTTGAGGAAAATTTACCCTCTCCCTGTGGGACAACAGATGACCTTATGGCAATGGAATATACAATTTTGTGAAGCACCTAATCTAAGACCCCTCTATCCATGAACAGTATTTGATTGCAGCATAGCTTGGTCTGAAGAAAGCTTGAAGGCTAACTATCATGATCCTTTTGTCTTTTGGTCACACTAAAGTTGTTTAAATATCTTCAAATATTTGACCCCTGTGACTTAATTAATTAACAACTGGAATGAGGTAATTCGTTGGAATAAAATTCCATTAGAGCTCTTCATCCCAGAAATCTGCATGCCAAATATCCTTAACCTCTTGGTCATATTAGAGAAGTTAGTTAAATGTTTTCACATACTAGCTCCTGTGACCTTGAAAGTGGATCAAGCTAGACCACTTATTTATATTTGGAAAAAAAAATGATAGTTTTTCATTCCTGTTTGCGAGTGGCAAAATAGCATCTGCCAAGTTCTTTCAGTTAATTAGGAAAAGTTGTTGAAAGATTATGGCAGATTTTATCCCAGTAACCTTAAAAGTAGGTCAAAGTTATTGATTTGAATACATTCTTAGCCATTCATCCTACCAATTGGCTAATTATCATCATCTTAAACCCTTGGTCATTTAGAAGAAGTCATTTAAAGGTTTTTACATATTTGATCACTGTGACCTTGAAAGTGTGTCAAGATCTTTTATTTTAACAAACTCTACAACCCAGCATGCTGCTGCCAAAACAAATAAAAAATTCAGAAGACATCATTAAACACTTAATTATTGGGACCCTTGACTTTGAAATTTGGATAAAGTCATTCACTGGAAAAACATCTTGCGGGTCACACTCGCAAAATTAACCTATCATCTGCGTCTATCTTATGACCCACGTGGGTCATAAAAATCTTCCACGTTCTATCAACATGACCCACAATCGCCTGCCTCCACGCTCCTATATATTAGTCTCTCCCTAATTCCAGTAATGTTCAATTTGTGTTTCTCCAGAGTTTAAATAGTATTCAAGTAAAAGTAAAATCTGTACACACATTTCAAAATGTTTTCACATTGGCGGTCTCGCTTTCGGACCAGCCGGGCAAATTTGAAAGGTGAGTACTATCTAATTTTACAACAGTGCATATCATCCCAATTGAATTACTTTTGATTTCATATTTACAACTAGAGAAAATGCTCCTTATCTGGACTGTGTTCAAGGTTAAACAAAAGGATGAGTGGCTTCATAAACTTCAATGATGAGCACAAAATTTCTTTCTCAATGGCAGATCATTTAACAAAATCTGCATGAAAATTCTTCAGGATAAAAATTTCAGTCAGTCGTACAAATTTGAATGTACCTAGAAACATTGTATTACACCAATACAAATACCTGTATTTAACATAAATGCATATATTTAACAATGATTTAATAAATTTGTATATTTTTACAGTTTCCAACCTGGCAGTCAGATTCTCATGTTGTACATGAAGATGATAGGTAGAAATTGATGGAAGAGCTTCTAGTTTAATTCATGCTTCCAGTAATGCATGAATGACGAAAGATGCCAAGTTTTCTACAACAAACTCAAACTACCTTTATGTACAGGGAAAATAGTATTATGAAAAGACAGAATGTAAAAAAAACAGCATTTGTTAAAAAAAATGTTTTGTCGTTTTTAAAAAATGTTGTATTTTTTGGCAGCAGAATTTATCAGCAAATTATTACCATGCTTATATTTGGAGGAGGACACTTTGATGAATCCGCCATTTTTGTTGTATTATAGGAACACTTCTTGGTACTGAGGTCCCAGTCACATTGGTAACCCTGGGTATTGAGGTAGACACAGGAGCTGCACGCCGTGGCTAGGTTCTCACAAGTGTACACTAAACAATCAAAACATAATTTCAATACATATTTTATACACTACATTTGTATACAAGAGATCCCAGAGGGATCTTGGTGCCCACCATTGTACCATCCTTCATTAGTTCTACGTCAGTTTAATCTTTTCTCTTCTTTTCTCTTATCTGTTCGATCAGTTTGCCTATCTGCCATCTTAATCAATCTTTTGATCAACCTCAAAAGTTAACATGCACAACTCAGGACCACTAAGTGAAGGGGAACCTACATATCAAATTTGAGAAAGATTCCTTCAGTTGATTCTGAGAAATAGCAAAACAAACATAAAATGTAACAAGATGGCCGGCCAATATGATTTGATATGCGTAACTAAGAACAAGAGGAACCCTTATGTGCAATTTGAGAAAGAATTTTTGAGCAATAGGGCTAAAACACTTTTACTCCCAAATTCAACACGACCACCTGCCACTAGCCATCTTGGTTTTCCAATCATCCCTAAAATTTGAAATGCAGAACAAGGAACCATGGGGAACCTTCATGTGAAATTGAGAAAGACCCCTGCTGTACATTCTGAGAAATAACGCTAACAAACTTTCATTCTCAAATTCAAGATGGGTGTCTGTCAGCCATCTTGGTTTTCCCTCCTATCCCAAAATTTAATATGCGTAACTAGAGGTGATGGGCAACTTTTATTTCAAATTTGAGATAGACCCCTCCAGGACTTCTTGAAAAACAGCACTAACAAACTAACTCTCAAATTCAAGATGGTTGCCTGTCGGCCATTTTGGTTTAGTGATCAGTCCCAAAAAATGAAATGCATAACTATAGGGGTCATGGGGAACCTTTATGTGACATCTCAGAAATATCCATCTAACACTTTATGAGAAATAGTGCTAACAATCTTTAACTGCCTGTCGGCCATCTTGGTTTTGTAATCAGTCCCAATATGGTTTGAGAAAGATCCCTCCAGTACATTCTGAGAAATAGTGCTAACAAACCTTAACTTTCAAATTAAAGATAGCTGGCTGTCGGCCATCTTGGTTTTGTGATCAGTCCCAAAATATGATCTACATAACCAGGGATCATGGGGCATCTTCATGTGACATCACAGAAATATCCCTCCAGTACTTCCTGAGAAACAGCACTAACAAGAATTGTTTAAGGACGGACGGAATGACGGAAGGACCATGGACTACAGACGCAGGGTGATATGAAAAGCACACCATCTGATGATGGTGGGCTAAAAGTGGATTTTCATTCATTCTAACCACCATAACTTTCCGCACTGAAGAAATTGAAAATTATCCTGCATGACAATTGTCTAAAAGAAATTGTTCAAACATGGCACTATGTTTCTACATGTCAATATGTTCATATAAACATCTCAGCTGCAAAACTTGCCATGTACACCATCAGAAGGAATTGCATTCATAGGGATGTTGACACATTCAGATCAGTGTCATTTTGATACTTCCCCTCCACCTTCAGTTACATAAGAAGCAAACATATATAGGTGACATTAAGTTCTTTCAGGATTTTGTTTCTGAGTTAAAGATCATAAGACAATTTAACATGGCAAATGAATGAACTAGAACACTGATAGGTCACCAAGGGCCCTGCTATGTGTTTGACATATATATCCCCCATAGTCGCCAAGCAAAAGGCAAACTTATCATTTTGATTTTGAAACATACAAGTGATTGCTTCTTTAAAAATTTGTAATATATGTATAAATGCAAAACATGAACTAGAACTGTAAGCCAAAGGCTAACTAAGGCAAAGCATTGCAAAGCGATCCAGTCTACCATAAAAGATGATTTCTGTATTTACTGTGCTGTACACTTATTTAAGTATATATATCTGTAGGTCACTGGCATACTTCCTGTACACCCTACCCATGCCAAAACATACTTGCATACCAAATCTTGTTAGCCCAGATGAACCATTTTTGTTGAAATCGTCCTAGTAGTTAACCCTTTCACCACTGTAGATCGTTACGGACTCGTCCATATCAATGCATGGTAAAGTCTACTAAAGTTATATAGGGGTGAAAGGGTTAAGGAAGAGAATTGTCAAGATAAAACGGTTTTTAACAAAGGGCCATAACTCCTTAAAAAGGGTTGAAATGAAAAAGTACTACCCTGAGACATGACATCAGGGGGTTACATTACCATATCTGTAAACTTTCATTGAAATTGGTCCAGTAGTTTAGGAGGCAGAAAAAGGTTTTTTCAACACAGGGCTATAACTCCTTTTAAAATCGTCAGAATGAAAAATACGACTTGGTCGCACAATATCAGGGGGCAGTTACCATACCTAAAGTTTTCTGTGAAATCTACCCAATAGATATAAGGAGAATTTTTCATGACAAGGATTTTTTCAACAAAGAGCCGTAACTCAATCAGAAAGGGTCAGAAAAATAAATACCTGGATGCAACATCAGGGGGTTGTAATCACATCTGAAAACTTTCGTTGAAATTTACCCCATAGTTTTGGAAGAGTTGTCTGGACATGCAAGGATTTTTGACAAACGGCCATTACTCCGTAAAAAGGGTCAGAATGAAAAAATAATACCTGGATGCACAACATCAGGTGGTAGTTATCATATATGAAAAATTTCCTTGAAATTTGCCCCGTAGTTTTGGAGGAGTTGTCCGGACAAGGATTATTTTAACAAAGGGCCATAACTTATTAAAAAAGGGTCAAAATGAGAAAATAATACCTGGATGCACAACTTTAGGTGGTATAGTTATCATATCTTGAAGCTTTCGTTGAAATCAGTCCATAACTTCAGAAGGAGTTGTCCAGACAAACTTTTTTTTACAGACGGACGTACATTGTACGGACTGATTCCAGTATACAACCCTAACTTAGTTGTGGGGGGTATAATTACACTGCATCATACAGTTGTTTCCACCTTCTAGGACTTATCAGTGATGCTAAGGGCTAAGTAATGGTAATACAATATGACAAATACAAACAAGGTCAGACAAGAAGAACAGAAGAACAAAATTATATCAATAAAACAAAAGTAATAGCCATCTATGTCTCAGCCAATTACAGGCAATGAACACCGTTAAACCTCCGCACCCCTTTATAACGCCAACATTTTACTGGACAAATGTTGGCAGTATAACAATTAAGGTTTAACTGTTCATTGAACTTGTGTTATCTGTAGGATTTCATATTTTACCTGTTGAAGCTACAGTAACATTGTGTTATCTGTAGGATTTCATATTTTACCTGTTGAAGCTACAGTTCCATTGTGTTATCTGTAGGATTTCATATTTTACCTTTTGAGGCTACAGTTCCATTGTGGTCAATGTTTTTTCCTTTATATGTTACTGTGACATTACCAGACATGGAAACCTAGAACAAGGAACGATAAAAAAATCATCAACAAGGAATGATCATAAAATCATCAACAAGTAATGATCATAAAATAATCAACATGGAATTATCACAAAATCATCAACAAGTAATGATCATAAAATCATCAACAAGGAATGATCATAAAATCATCAAAATGGAATTATCACCAAATTATCAACATGGAATTATCATAAAATCATCAAAATGGAATTATCACCAAATCATCAACAAGGAATGATCATAAAATCATCAACAAGAAATGATCATAAAATCATCAACATGGAATGATCATAACATCATCAACATGGAATTATCATAAAATCATCAAAATCGAATTATCACCAAATCATCAACATGGACTTATCATAAAATCATTAACAAGGAATGATCATAAAATCATCAACAAGTAATGCTCATAAAATAATCAACATGGAATTATCATAAAATCATCAACATCAACATGGAATGATCATAAAATTATCAACAAGAAATGATCATAAAATCATCAACATGGAATTATCACAAAATCATTAACAAGTAATGATCATAAAATCATCAACATGGAATGATCATAAAATCATCAACAAGAAATGATCATAAAATCATCAACAAGGAATTATCACAAAATCATCAACAAGGAATTATCACAAAATCATCAACAAGTAATGATCATAAAATCATCAACAAGAAATGATCATAAAATCATCAAAATGGAATTATCACCAAATTATCCACATGGAATTATCATAAAATCATCAAAATGGAATTATCACCAAATCATCAACAAGGAATGATCATAAAATCATCAACATGGAATTATCACAAAATCATCAACAAGGAATTATCACAAAATCATCAACAAGTAATGATCGTAAAATCATCAACAAGAAATGATCATAAAATCATCAACATGGAATTATCATAAAATCATCAACATCAACATGGAATGATCATAAAATCATCAACAAGGAATGATCATAAAATCATCACCATGGAATGATCATAAAATCATCAACATGGAATTATTACAAAATCATTAACAAGCAATGATCATAAAATCATCAACATGGAATGATCATAAAATCATCAACATGGAATTATCACAAAATCATTAACAAGCAATGATCATAAAATCATCAACATGGAATGATCATAAAATCATCAACATGGAATTATCATAAAATCATCAACATCAACATGGAATGATCATAAAATCATCAACAAGAAATGATCATAAAATCATCAACAAGAAATGATCACAAAATCATCAACATGGAATTATCACAAAATCATTGATAAGTACAACAGAGTCCCTCCTATTTTACTTTTTACAAAAGTAACAAGAGGCCCAGAGGGCCTGTATCGCTCAACTGAATATTTAAGCAGTCATGGCAAAATATTCTCATTAAATATTATCTTGTACTTCAAATATTTCACTCGCAAACTGTCGACTCCAACTGTTAAAACTACCAGCCAAATATTATTGTTTGATTCTATGCTTTTTAGTTTCTTCTTCAAAAGTTGTTTGAAGTGTTTTGACATATTTGACCACTGTGACCTTGTAAGTAGGTCAAGGTCATTTTCCTTTCTAAACTTTGTCGGGTTCTATCCAACGAAGCCACCAGCCAAATATGAAGATTCCATACGATTTAGTTCTTCATAAGAAGTCGTTTGAAGAGTTTGACATATTTGACAGCCGTGACCTTGAAAGTAGTTCAAGGTCATTTTCAAACTTTGTTGGGCTCCATCCAAGGAAGTCACCAGCCAAATTTGAAGATTCTATACGATTTAGTTCTGCAGAAGAAGTTGTTTGAAATGTTTGACACATATGACCCCTGTGACCATGAAAGTAAGTCAAGGTCATTTTCATTCTCAAACTTTGTTGGGCTGCTACCAAGAAAGCTTTCAGCCAAATATCATGACTTTTGGCCTGTCTGTTCTTCAGAGGAAGTTGTTTAAAGGAAAAGTTGACTGACGACGGACGGACGACAGACGCCGCACCATGACATAAGCAAAAATTAATGTTGATGCCGCCATCGCCGGGAAAGCAACACCTAAGTCTGGCTTCCACTTTGTGGCAGAGAGACAAAAAGTTCTTGCATTTACTACACAATGCCCTTATTCGGCAAAAAAAGGGGCATAACTCCAACAAAAATGCATGTAAACTTCTGAAATTCTAACTCATTCAAGCTTTATTGGTATGCAATATGTGTACCAAGTTTGAAACCTTGTTTCAGACGATGCAACCGACGCTGACAATGCCGACAAAAGCAATACCCAAAAATAAGGCGAGCAACGGGAACATGTACATCAAATTTGAAAAAGATTCCTCTATTACTTTTTGAGATATAAATCTAGAGATTACAAAACTTAATTAACTGTCAAAATATACAATATGGCCACCAGTGTCCCATTTTGCTTTCCTATCAGTCTCAAAAGTAAACATGCACAACTAGAAATCATGGGAAACCGTCATACTAGATTTGAAAAAGATCTCTTTAGCACTTTCTGAGAAATAGCAACAAAAAATCTTAACTGTAAAACTATACGATGGCCACCTTTTGGTAATACTGTTTGTCATATCAACCATTTTGGTTTTTTGGATCAGTCCTGAAATTCTATATCAAAACTGGGAACCATGCATAGAGAACCTTCCTGTGAAATTTTAGAAAGATTCCTACAATAATTCTTGAGAAATAGCACTAAAAAGAATGTTTCAGGATGAATGGAATTACAGATGGATGGACCACAGACCACAGATGAAGAATGATTTGAATTATACAAATATAAATACGGTTTGGAACAATGCTTACACTCTATTTATAGGATCCAACACTGCTTGAAAAATCTTGCTCATAGACTCTAATACTTGCTAAACACTTTAACCTAAAACTTGCTTTATAAAGTTTTTATTTGAAAACTTAGGCTCAGAATTTGCTCCCATTTTGGACCACTAAAATGACTTTATATTGGTACATCATGGCAATGTTTACCTCTTATGAAATGGAAAAGTCAAACAGTAACACAAAATATATGCACTGAAGTGCTGGAACAGCAACAGAAAACAGTTTAACACAAAGTGGATTGATGTCGATGAAGGGGTTCCTACATCAGCACACACAGCCCCCCCCCCCCCCCCCCCCCCCCCCCCCCATTATTAAAGATAAAAAAGATAAGCATACCTTAACCTCACAGATGACTTCTGTACTGTTAACTTCACTGACGATACCTGGCATATTACTCACGGTACATGTGTAAAGTGTCTACATGAAAATAAAATGACACATTATTAAAAGGCATATCATAGACAGTAAAATATTTATAGTTCTTTGTAAACAAAATTTGCAAAATTATAATCAAATTATTACTATCATGAACACAGTGTAGATTTATGACCTCGTCACATGTGTTGATAACCTCCCCTAGTCTCTTGTATTGATAGCCTGCCTTAGTCACATGTGTTGAACACCTCAACTAGTCAATAGCCTCCTTCCTGAAGTATAGTGTCAATAAAATATGAAAGAAATGAAGAAAAGATTTACAAACATATATCAAATATGAAAAAATATATAATGAACACATTATAACATCCTGTTTGTTTGTTTTTTTGAGAAGTTCAACGTCTGCTTCACTACTAAGTAGGTCAGTTATCCTGCAAACAAACATAATTATTTCCCCTTGTCACTAGTGTTGATAGCCTCCCCTAGTCACATGTGTTGATAGACTCCCCTAGTACCATGTGTTGATAGCCTTCCCTAGTCACATGTGTTGATAGCCTCCCCTAGTAACATGTGTTGATAGTCTTCCCTCATCACAAGTGTTAAAAGCCTCCCCTAGTACCAGGTGTTGATAACCTCCCCTAGGCACTTGTGTTGATAGCCTCCCCTAGTCACATGTGTTGATAGACTCCCCTAGTACCATGTGTTGATAACCTCCCCTTGTCACATGTGTTGATAGCTTCCCCTAGTCACTTGTGTTGATAGCCTCCCCTAGTCACATGTGTTGATAGACTCCCCTAGTACCATGTGTTGATAACCTCCCTTAGTCACTTGTGTTGATTATAACATCCTGTTTGTTTGTTTTTTTGAGAAGTTCAACGTCTGCTTCACTACTAAGTAGGTCAGTTATCCTGCAAACAAACATAATTATTTCCCCTTGTCACTAGTGTTGATAGCCTCCCCTAGTCACATGTGTTAATAGCCTCCCCTAGTCACATGTGTTGATAGCCTCCCCTAGTGACATGTGTTAATAGCCTCCGATAGTCACATGTGTTGATAGCCTTCCCTAGTACCATGTGTTAATAACCTCCCCTAGTCACTTGTGTTGATAGCCTCCACTAGTAAGATGTGTTGATAGCCTCCCCTAGTAACATGTGTTGATAGTCTTCCCTCATCACAAGTGTTAAAAGCCTCCCCTAGTACCATGTGTTGATAACCTCCCCTAGTCACTTGTGTTGATAGCCTCCCCTAGTCACATGTGTTGATAGCCTCCCCTAGTCACATGTGTTGATAGCCTCCCCTAGTCAC